TCATATCTTGTTCACATAAGATCATATACTTCATATAATATATCGAAACACCTAGAACACTTTCACGTAGCTTATAGTCATAAGTTTTATCTCGTATCATATACTTGTTTTCACATATATTTCCTATCAATTCTTATGCCATCACATAATTCCTTTAACATACATAACATATCATGTAACATTATAATAGAAATACTTTAAGTCATATCACTTAAAGCACATATACTTATAGTCACATTGCTTATATCTTAATCGTATGCCTTCTCTTAAACATATATATTCACATGTTCAGGTAATTCACCATTTCATCACATAATTGGGTATTCATATAACTCATTTCATTTCATTTCATATCTATCTATATATATATCCTCAAGATTATCCTAATATAAATCATATAGCACTCTTATATTCGTATTCATCTAGGGCAGACTTATAAACATATCTCACTTCTATTATTTCTATATATCTAATCTGTTACTTAATTCAATTTCTTATAGCTCTTATAATCTTCTCATATAACTTCACAATTTCTATCATTCAACCCATGTGTTATAGTTTTATTTAAACCTATGAATCTTTCCCATCTAGCTTATCTTATACGTTCATCTTATCATTTATGTTCAAATCCCCTAGTTGGTGTACTATTTTCACTTCATCCTATAGATCAATATTATCCAGTTTATTTCACTTATCATATAAAAATATAATTATATTTTACTATGATCACATAGTTTATATCTCATACTTTGCTTCTCATGTTCACCTATATCATGTCATATGGCTCATATCTTTCTCATGCAGTCACATAGTTCAGTTTCACATGTATATATATATACCTTATATAGCACATACTTCTCATAACCTTACATTCAAAAGCATGTCAACACATATTCATGCATACATACAATTCATGTCATTCATATACGTATAATCATATATTCATGCATTCCAACATAGGAAATAGACTTGTCGCAAGTCTTGTTTCCATTTAGCACCATAAACTAACTAATATGCACTCACCTGGCCTCACTAGCCAAATCCAATCTCTTATCTTTCCCTTGATCGATCTTACTTGCTAAACGTTCCGGAATTGCTTTATGCGTAGAATCTACATAAATGTACATTTCGAGACCATCATTAGATACCTACACCTTGTAATTGGATACTATCAATTTAAACGAACTTATTAATCTATATCCCCAATTTTCCTTTAGGGGGAATCGGTTCCCCCCCATGGGGGTATCGGTTCCCCTATGACATACTGGAAATTCTTGTTCGTTTGAAGGGGTATCGGTTCCCCTTGAATGGGTACCGATTCCCCTTGCCCAGAATTCATATTTTCAACCCGAAAATTACTTCATTTCCTCTCAAACACTTCATATATCATCCCCTTTTCATCCTTAACTCTAGTACACATACTTAAACCAATCTATATTCATTTATTTCATCTTAAACCTCAAAATTCTATCTTCCATATAAGATTCAAAAATCATACCAAATTTCCAATGTGTTCTAATTCTAATTCTAACACTTCCTACCTCTTAATTTAATCCTTGACAAGTCAAATTCAACTTCACAATCTATTAACTCCTTCCATATCAAAAATTCACTTAAAAACTCATTTTTCTTAATTTCTCATAACTTGTTAATCTTTGAGGTTTAAGCCCCCTAAAGCTTTCCTTAATCTTTCTTAATATCCCAAGAATCAAAACAAGCTTTAAAACGAAAGAATTAACCAACTAAAGACTCACTTACCTTATACCAAGCTTCACGGTGGAGAGGAGGAAGAAGAAGACTGAAGAATGCTCTGGACTCTTCTTCATACGTGCTTATTACCCTTAAAAAAAATTATAAAAAATCTTTCTGGTCAAATGACCATAATACCCTTACTTTCCTTTAATAATTACCAAATAACCTTCAATATATATTCAAATAATCATTGAATTCTTTCATTCTTCTACTTTAGTCACCAAATTCTGAAACTCTACAATTTGGTCACTAACCCGGTATTGCGGATGTTACAGTTGCAGACAGGGGTGGACCTAGGAAAAAAATTCAGGGATTGTATAAAAAAATTCTTATAATTTTTTTTAGGGGTTGCACAATATTAAAGGTGACACTTGTATTAATTAAAAAAATTAGAAAAAATTAACACTAAGTAGACAATTTGTATAAATTTTTTTTTCTATAAGAATTTATCTGAAATATAGAGATTCTACCTAAAAATCACAAAATATATATATAAAAATACTAAAATAATATCATTTGATCAATGATCCTCACAATTTGAGGGGTTGCCCGGGCTACTTCTGGCAACCCCTGGGTTCGCCCCTGGTTGTAGATCCAGTAGCTAAAATAAGCAGGAAAGGCCGCCCCTCACCGGCACCGGCAACCACCGGTTCAGAGGAGGAAGTGATGAAGTCAAGAATGGTTAGGCTGAAGAAGCTAAACACAAACTCATCAGTGATGAATATTCTCACACTAATGTCTCTCACCTGGCGTATTGTTTACCATGGCCAACGCCTAACCTTAACCTGCTAATGAGATTGATGCTATAGATACTTTCACTCCTGTCTTGTAACATAATACTTGATCCTGTTTAAAGATTTAGTCTAGGACAGTTTGGTTTTGCAACACTTCTTTCTGTGCACTGTAAAGTAAATGTTACATATATATACATAACTATACTGGGATTGTTCATCACTGAGCTCCCTTTGTCTTTATTTGGGTTGAACTAGGAGTCCTCTCATTAACATAACTAAATTCCCTCTTCTCCAAAATTTCTCCCAACCTCTCTAGATTGCTTGACTCAAAAGGTGAGATAATCCAACCAAGGGAAAGGAATGAACTATGTTTCCAACCTAAATCCAGCTCAGACCAGGCTCCTTTTTAACCCCTCGCTGTTGCATCAGTTCTCTGACACTCGCAGCTAATGGTTCTACAGCAGCATCAGCATAGATGTTGTGAAGAAGAACATAAGATGCAGACTCTTGGGGTTCAAGCTCAATTACTTTCATTGCAGCTCGATTCCCAATTACAGTGTCCCCATAAACCTTGCAAGCAATCAACAAGGCTCGCCACAATACTGGATTATTCTCGAAACCCGAGGTGAGGATGAAATTTTCAGCCTCTGCTAGCCTTCCTGCACGATCAAAGAGGTCAACAACACAGCAGTAATGCTCTATGCTGTTTTCAACACCATAATCTTTCATGCTTTCAAAGTATCTGCAATAACTCGAAAGGTTAATCACATAGTTATTATGAATAAAAGCAAAGAAATAAAATCTGCTTGAACAGCTCCCAAGGAGATTGGAATAGAAAATTCAGTGCATATGGTGTTCTATCGTCTGTCTGCTATTCTATATAAAGCTAAATTATGTCCACAGCTTACTAAAGTTAGTTAATCATTAAGTTCCAAGTACTAACAATTTCCCATTGTAAAAAATTGAGAAGCGATCGATTCAGGCTAGAAATTTAAGGATGCAATGTGTCCCTACAACCCCTCACGTCCTCATGCATCCATCATAAATACAAATGCACTTAGAAATGATAGAAGAGATCCATTGGCATACTTTAATCCTTCTTCGACCAGCCCACCATAACTGCAAGCAGATAAAACTCCTACAAATGTAATCTGATTAGGCTTAATCCCGTGTTCCTTCATCAACCCAAAGAGATTTAACGCATCCCTAGCACATCCATGTTGAGCGCAGCTATCAATCATCACTGACCAAGAAACCACATCAAGATTCTCGATCTCTCGAAATGTCAGATTAGCGGAATCTATGTTACCACACTTTGCATACATGCAAATCTGTGAGTTTTGAACAATTCTGAAGTTCCCAAAGCCACTTTTCACAACATGTCCATGAACCTGCACACCAAATCTTGCAATTGCTAGATCTGCACAAGCACTCAAAATGTTTGAGATAGTGAATTCATCTGGTCTTCCTCCACAGGCCAACAGTTCATAAAAGAGACTCAATGCACTTTCAAATTTCCCATTCTGAACATAGCCCGCAATCATGGAAGTCCACAAGACAATATCTCGTGTTGATGTTGATCTAAAACATTTCAGGCCATCTTCAGTTGATCCCATCAGGGAATACAGTTCAATAATTGCACTTCCTATGAACTCATCAGACTGCAAGTTATACTTGCATATTTGAGCGTGAATTTGCTTGCCGTAGACAAAATCTGCAAGTGCAATACAAGCTTAAGCATGCTGAGAATGTAAATTTTGAGGGCTTCAATCCTTGTCTTTGTACTTCAAAGAAAATTCTGCAGGCTTCCTTTGCGCATTCCTTGCTAATGCTTTCTGTTTCTATAAATCCAGATATCATGGCATTATACATGACAATTACGGTTTGGCATGCTTGTAAAAACTTTGATTGCACTATGTAATTCTCCCTTTTTCGCATAATATCAAGCAATGCTGTCCCCACAACAATGTCGATATCGAAACCAAGTTTCATCATACATCCATGAAGCATTTTCCCACACATTATCCTTACATCCTTGTTCGTACAACAAGCCTTCAAGACACTTCCCATGGTATAAGTATTCAGGTTGAAGCCATTTCGATGCATGCTTGTTAATAGTTTCAACATCTCGTTATTGTTATTCATAGCTCTGATTGTTTTACGGTTTAAAGAAATTATTTTGATAGAAATGGAGTAATAATAAGATTTAAAATATGAATATGACAGCTAAGAATAATGACCAAATTTACTGTTGACACTGTCCTTTGGATCTCCTTAAATTTCCCAAATCTAACAGTTTCACACCAAACCCTTTTTTCCACGACTTTTACCCCAACTATGAAATAATTAAAACGAATCTACCACCAATAATTAAGCGGTGCATCCACGTGCCTTCTTTTCTGAATTCTAATTGGTCCGTGATTTTCATGAGAAGCCTTCGCACCTGCAAAACACTTTACACACTCTATACTATTCCAGAGGTTTCGGTGAAGAGGAAGTCTGACATGAATGAAAATGATGAGGTTGCACTTTCTGGCCTTACATGTTTCATTTTCTGATAGAAAGGACTTACTCACCGTTGGATCTTTCTTTTCCAAAACATTCTGTGCTAATCCAACGGTTTAAAAAAGGTTAAAAAATGAGGAGAGTTTTATTATGTTTAGGGCATATCCACATAGAAAAAGGGGAACCAAAGAGGAAAGTTGTTTCTGTTCGTAGGTTCACGAAGCTAACTCCCTCGAACTGAACAGAGAAGCAGATGAAACCGACGCCTGCCGGAAGTATCAGCTCCAGCGGTGGTAGTGGTGGTGAAGGGAATCGAGCTGGACTTGCCCGCTTCCGCTCAGCGCCAGCCACCTGGTTGGAAGCTCTTCTCGAGGAAGACGAAGAGGACCCATTAAAACCTAACCAGTGCTTGACTCAGCTACTCACCGGCAATTCCTCCACCATACCCACCCTTCGAATCCCATTATCTTTTCCTAACTCGCCCGATCCAGCTGGGTTGTTTGAACCTTCTGGCTTTCAGAGACAAAACAGTTCTCCAGCTGATTTTCTTGGGAATAACTCGGCTGCTGCCTCTGATGCATACTTCCCTAACTTTGGAGTTGCTGCAAATTATGATTATTTATCGCCAAATATGGATGTTTCTCCCTCCAGTAAGAGGGCTAGCGAGCTTGATACGCAATTCTCACCCGCAAAGTTTCGTTCCCAGTTGGTAAGGCTAAGAGATAATATGGTTTCACCGTCTTTGAATTGCCTGTAAAAAAAGAAAAGTACTTGGTCTTCTTATTTATTCTTTAAGTCTTCTTTTAATGGTTTAGGGCTTTAGGCTTTAATATTTACTTGTAAAGCTCACCAATTACTAGCAATACACGTCTAGCCAAAAGGGGGAAGTATAAATTTGCTCTTTTGAGCAAAATTATAAATGGCTAAGTTCCATTTTTTTTATATTTTTTGTGTAGAAAGGAGAGCCAAGTGATCAGATTTCTGGTGGGTTATCAAACCTTTTAGACTTAGATATGGAGAAACTTTTGGAGGATTCGGTGCCTTGCAGGGTTCGCGCCAAGCGCGGTTGCGCGACTCATCCTCGAAGCATTGCAGAAAGAGTAATTGTATTCATTTCATTGATAAGAGCTATAATGGTGTTTATGTTGAGCTCTAACAATTCAATTATGTTTTTTGTTAGGTTCGGAGAACAAGGATTAGTGACCGCATCAGAAAGCTTCAAGAGCTTGTACCCAACATGGATAAGGTAGGCTACTTCTTGAGATCATTTTTACTTAAAAGAAAAAGAAACTCATTGGAAGTTCTAAATTCTAACCTATATTAGTATATCATCCTAATCAAGTTTCATGCCGAATGCATTGGTTTAGAGAGCTAGTTCAATTTGGCGATGTTGTTTTATCGGAACAAGCTCGAAAACAGAAGAAAGAGCCTTTGATTTAAAGTGTGCGACCAGCTTGTTCAAATTTGTATTAGTTACTAAAAAATCATAGATGTAGTTAATTGTTAAGGTTATCATTATCTAATTTGTAGTGTGCCAGTAAGAAAAAAAGGGGAATTTCTCAAATTGTCAGGGTCTAAAGGATTGTGGTAACACATACAAGGCATATGGATTCATTACTCTGTTGCGATTAAATCTTTATTGTCTGGTGTATCTATTACTGGAAGTTATTGCTCTGTTAATCATCGTTCCTGTTTAACATGTACGGCATGAGCAATATGAAGTGTGCAATGAAACTTCATTTCTATAAATAAATTCTAATGTGAGTACAAATGTATTGGCTGTCCTGTAAATTTGCATGCAGGTGTACATCATATCATGCAAAATCTTCCGATGTACACTGTTTAACTTGGCGATTTTCTTTCTTGTACTATCAGCAAACCAACACTGCAGATATGCTGGAAGAGGCGGTAGAATACGTTAAATATCTTCAAAGGCAGATTCAGGTACGTGGTCTTCTGAAAGGATTTTATTTTCGCCTCTTTGCTAGTTGGTAATATGTATGCTATGAAAGTGAGAAAGGAGGCAACACCATGGTATATCACCGGTGCTGCTGTAAACTATGGCCTACTAAGAAACCTGGATCCTTCGCAGGAACTCACCGAGCTTCAAACGAAATGCAAATGCAAAACTAAAGATTGATTGGCTACCAAGAGCTTATCGTAATTATCAGCTTTATAACCGTCTTGCCGAAGTACACTATGGTTGTTTTCGGATAAGGTTAGCTGGTAGAACCACAATGTAATTACTAGATTTACCACTTGCCTTCTTCGGCATGCAATACGCAGATGTGGATACTTATGAAGCTACGATAGCTATAGAGTTGATGTCGAGACCTCTGCTTTGCTTGGACTTGCCTACTACTGCACCTTGAAGATCACTTGGTATAATTGTAGTTGTACAATATTAACGTAGACTATAAAGTATGATTTTTTATTAACGACATAATATATAATTTTTAATAAAGTTATTAGTTTCTCATAATTCTTACTGTATATGTAGACGAGTTGTATTCAATGAAAATTTCTATTTACTTTTTAAGAATCTGTTTGCCGTGAATAGCATGGTTCGGGTGAAGAAATTTCCAAATCTTTAGCAATTGTCGGATGAGGCAACTATACACGATTCAATCTCACACCTTAGGAAAAGTTTCTCTGTAAGTCCCTGGAATTCAAAGGAGCAACACTCAATTTGCAGAATCTGTTTAATTTGTAAGTTTTAATGGTAAATAAAAGAAATTACCCGATGTCACTTTTCACGAGTGCCAAAACATGATACCATTATTACCAACGGGGTTGATTCAAGTAGTAACTTGATATCGCTTAAGCAATGTCTCAGGTTCGAGTCCTTGTGTATGCAGAAAATCTCCGTCGGAAGACATACTCACCAAAACCATGTGTGATAACTTTCAAATTCAGAGAAACCCTGAAATGAAAAATGGACAATCTTGAGCCAAATCCTATTATTTTACTAAAATAAACATAAACGAAGGTTCAACAAGCGAGAGTAATTTAAAAAAAAGAAAGGATAGGTGCAGAGACTCAATTGAAGCTATTCTAACAGATGGGGTTGACTGTTGGTAAAGGAATCCTTATGCCGAAACTCCATAAAGGAGGCACGATATACCTATATAAATAATAAAAATACATAGGTATACTACTGAAAAACTATATCAAACCCGTACTTTTTTATATGTAAAATCTATTTATATGAAAAATAAAAAGAATTGTTGTGAATCGATTTCAAGTTGCAGGTCCCTCAATACTCATTGTACGGATTATCTGATGTGTTCATGATTGTTGGTTTTCAAGAATTCTTTTTAGGATCAAGTGCCAACTGCCAAGTGAATTGAAGAGCATCGGACTTGCGTCTACATCAGCATCTTTGGTGTTGGAAACTTCTTAAGCAGTTTTCTCATCTCTGCTATTGAGAAAGTGACTAGCAAAGCTGGTCGAGATAGCTGGTTTGCAGATAATCTGAACATAACTCATATCGATTACTTCAATTGGTTGCTTGCTGCTCTTACTGCCATAGGATTAGCTCTGTATGCATATTCTACAAAGTCTGATATTTATGCAAGGTAAGTAAATCATATCTCTCTTGTAAACTATGTTATTTGGGTACGGGTGTCAGTTTGATATATGTATGTGATGGATATAATCACATACACGTCAAGAACAATGAAAAGTCCGAAATAAATCCTTGAGAAGTCAACATGACATAGCTACCATGTATAGCATACATACTTGTATTTCCTTGATTGCACTACAAATCTTACTCGGAAGAGCTCTAGAAAAGAACATATTATGGTTACAATTACATGGTAACACTCCGATTCATGGGTTAGAAGAAATTTATAACGTAGCTCCCCTAGCATAAAATGTAAGATTTAGTGGAATATACATAGAGAACCAATCCCACGACACTAAGCGCGGCAAGCAGCCAATAAAAGTAATCGAGATGTGCCCTATTCAGATTATCTGCAAACCAGCTATCTCCGCCATTCCCACCGGTTGCTTTCTCAATAACAGATATGAGAAAGCCACTTAAGAGACTTCCAACACCAATGATGCTAAGGCAGACCGCAATACCAATGCTTCTTAATTCATCAGGCATCTGATCATAAAAAAATTCTCGAAGACCAACAATAGCAAGCACATCAGATAACCCATACAGAGTGTATTGAGGGACCAGCCACCACACACGCATTGGAACAGTCACGTTTGGCTGGTCTACCAACCCATATTCTCGAGCAGTTCTAAGCCTCTTCATCTCTACTAAAGCGGCAATCACCATTGCTATACCTGATAGAGCAATTCCAGTTCCGATTGTTTGAAGCATTGTAATTCCACATGATTTTCCGGTGACAGATCTTGCTATAGGAACAAATAATCGATCATATATAGGAATGAAGATCATAATTGCAAAGCTTATGAAACACTGAAGTGAAGCAGCTGGTATTTTCAACCCTGCTGTTATTGATCTGTCCATTGTTGCACCTTATCAAGCTTGCAGCCCATATAGGTGCAAGCCTTAAAACAGTCTTTGCTTCTTCAACCTCTCTGATGCTACACACTTTTCCCTGCTCCATTGTATCGTCTGGGTCAATCAAGGCATTCTCGAGGAATCTACCACCACATTCAAAGAACCATATTTCCATGTTATAGAGATTCGTTATTGACAATGCAAAATAGGAACATTTTCCATAATTTTCAGTTCAGTGCATAAGATTTCAGTTATTTATGTTCACCAAAGCTTCCTTTATACAAATATATGTGACTTACCCTAGTTGCTTGGAACTTTCAGTAGGAAGAGCTTCCTCCTCCTTAGGAATTGCTGAAGAAGCTGTTTTTCGGTTCCTAACAGCCAAAACGAAAACTCGACCAATCCTCGCAAATGGGATTACTTCATCCTCTTTGACATTAAACCTGTAAGTCGTCGTTCCGAGCACAAAAACAAGCGGTGCAACAAGCATCACAATACCAGGTATTGCAAATCCAAGAACCCAACTTAGATTGTCTTGTATGTAATTTAAAACCAAAAGGGTCACTAACATACCAGCAGCAGTACCAAAGCCCGACCAATTAAAGAAAGAACTCTTGGCTTGGCACTCCTCAGGGTCTTGTGCATCAAATTGATCGGCGCCAAAAGCTTTAACGCAGGGTTTTTGCCCACCTTGTGCAAATGCTACCAGATATAGTGAGAAGAAGAACAGTATCACTTGAAACTGAAGCTCTGATGAAGTTTTTAATGTGACATTATCTGCATTACGAGCACCAGAAGTGGTGACAGATGGAATAGTAGCTGACAGAGTCAACAAGCCTAGACCCTGTATAAAAATGAAATCAATTAGTAGAAACTATTAAAATTATGCTACTCTTTTTAGCTTAAATCTTTAGGGTAAACTAAACTATTAGTATTTTAACTATCATTTTTATTCCGTTTTGCTCAAAATCCCATCTTAGTAAAAAATTATGCCTAAAGTTACGTTTTGATTCTATTTTGATCACACATCGTAAAAAAATTAACAAAATTGTTGAAGTGACATTTTTTATTTTTATTTTTCAACAATGATATGACATTATTTTATAGTAATCCGTAAATACTATTGTTAATTTTTTTAATGGAATGTGATCATAATGTGATTTTAAAAATAAAATAGTTGGATGATCAAAATAAAAATGTTGAATGAGAAAGCTAAGTCGAGCAACAGATTGGTCCATTACAGCTGTTTACTCAATCTTGAATTGAAAGCAACTTCTTGATTTGGGAATGATGAGTGGGTTCGAGAGAGCTCAGCAAAGGCTTCTGCAATCTAAAGTCTAAGCCCAAGCTTAAATTCAACTAATTTTTTAGCAGAAGAATCATGTTAAAACATTTATTGCTTCTTCTATATGTTCTAAATTTGGAATGAAAGGGAAAAAAATGATTTACCAAAACGTAAACAAGGGAAGCAAGGATGATGGTGCGGTATCGGCCAAGAAAAGAATCGGCAATAAAAGCACCCAAGAGTGGAAGAACTGTCGCCGCTCCCGACCAGGCGTTAACTTGAGCAGCGGAGGTGGCAGTGGACTGAGCCAGAGGCCCCGTTAAGTAAGAAATTAAGTTTGAAGAGATTCCAAAATAAGCAAACCTCTCTGCTCGACGGAAATGATGAAAGAAGCCGATCTCCAACCACCGGAGTTTGAGCGGCGGACAGGAGGGCCTTTGAAATCAAGGCACCCATTAACTGTGTCATCTAAAAGTGGAGTTTCAGCAGCGGCCAGATTGGAATTGGATATCGCCATAAGCTTTGGAAGAAGTTTGGAGTTGAGATCGTATAAAAAAGGAATTATCGCAGAGACTTAAATATTAGAAGCATGTGTGGTTAAATATAAACGTGGTTAATATCCAAGACTTAAGCATCCACTTGCCAACTTTAGGAGTGGCGTCACGCGCCCGTATTTACCAAAACTAGGGGTGTTCAAATAACCGAATTAATTCGGTTAACCGACCGAACTGAATTAGTTCGGTTAATTCAATTCGGTTATTGAATTAGTTCGGTCGGTTAACGGTTAATAAAATTTTTAGAATTTGATTAACGGTTAATTCGGTTCGAATTCGGTTTAATTAACCGAATTAACCGAAATTAAATTTTAAATTTTAAATATATTATATATAACATATGGGCTCAACCCAAATAATTAAAAACACAATTAATAATTTAAGATCCAATAACTTTTGAACTTAAATCAATATTAATTAATTAAAAAATTATATAAATTTTTTATTTTATAATTATATATTATTTAAATTAATTATAAACTATTTTTTAATTAAAAAATATTATATATATTATATATAACATATGGGCTAAGCCCAAATAATTTAAAACCCAATTAATAATTTAAGATCCAATAACTTTTAAACTTAAATCAATATTAATTAATTAAAAAATTTATCTAAAATTTTTATTTTATAATTATTTATTATTTAAATTAATTATAAACTTTTTTTGAATTAAAAAATATTTAATTTTTATATAAATTAGAAAATTTAAAAAAAAAATCGGTTAATTCGAAATTAATCGAATTAACCGAAATTTATTCGGTTCGGTTAATATGTTCAAAAAAAAATTCGGTTCGATTAACGGTTAAAGAAAAAAAAAATTGGTTAATTCGGTTATGGTTAATTCAGTTCGGTCGGCCACCGTTTTAACCGAATGAACACCCCTAACCAAAACTATTTTCTCTTTACTACTTTCTGCAACATTATTCCGTCACGGTCTCAATAATTCCCGGTTTTAATTTAAGCCTTAAAGAAAAAAAATAAGTATTTAAATTGTACTCAAATTAATTTTAGGTATTTCAATTTTTTTAGGGTAAAATATAATAATGTTCACTGAACTTTTTTAAAGCTTTTGTTTAGGTTCCCAACTTTTAAAACTTGCAATATAATCCCCTAATATTTAGTCTGTTTGTAAATATGGTCCCCCAACATTTAGTCCGTTTGCAATATGGTCCCCGACGTAACTGTTGGGGGACAATATTGCAAATGGA